GAGACACCCCTTCCGTTAACCTAAAAATATACAATGCACAAAACTTTGAAAACACACAATCATACAATGTAATAATGTTTAATGTTGCATGAAATCGTGGCATCGTGTCGTCTTTGACTTGATTGATATACTGACTCAAGTATCTGAAAGCTTTTTGTACACAATCTAAGTTCTAATATCATAATCCGTCAATAATCAATAACCATATTGTATGCAACCATTTAAAAGAGTAAACCCACATAATAGACATTTAAAATAGATCAATAACCTTTATCTTTCAAGTAATTTTAGTACTTTTGAATATATGGCCATCATGCTAGATTTTACTTAATTTGTTACATAAATGTTTATTGTAAAATAAAACACGCCTAAAGGCACTTTAATACTCGATAAAATAAGTTTTACCTAATATATATTTATTTACCTATTGAGAATATGATATATAGGCCTACACTTTTTATACTGTTATCTTTTACAAATTGATCATTATTGTCAAGTTTTGTATTTCGAGCAAGTTAATTAAAGAGGAAGAAAGTGAAGCCTATTTGAGAATAGTTAAATACACAAAGTAGTCGCTGAAATTTAAATGGGTATAATCGGTTTTGTGTAAAACTTGAAGGCAGTCTGTTAATTTGTATTTTTATACGTGCAATATTTTTAGCAGAAAACAGACATGACGTCAGATCGCATTTACCGAAACTATGTTACGGTGGCAATAGCACAGGAAGACAACGACAACTACAGAAACTATCCACTTGGAACAATAGATACGGATAACCATTACACAAACAGGCAGCTGAGTGGCCACATGGGAGTGTTTCCGACAGGCTTGACTCCATAAACCATTTACTTTTATATTCATAATAAAATGTAAGACTGTAACAGACGACCGGCAATATAATTCCCTTTATAGGATTTAGACACCCCCTCCCTTCCCTGTTTCAGCCCCGCCTTGGTCGTTGGTGCAGAAAAATAGAACGTTAACCCCTCACTCCATTTCCGCCGGGGTCTTAAATCTAAGCTGTGCCATTGTTTTAGTAGTAAATGAGAGTTCCACTGAATTAGTTCTTTTTTTTTCTTCCCAATGACTATAAGGGCATATTTTAGCAGTAGTGAAGCAGAGTCATTATGTTTATTAGTACAAAAACAACAATTTATAGAGATCATGATTTTATTCACGAACAGAACAAGCCTAAAAATATTGCTTTAAACAGTAGGCTGCAACAAAAGGGGATTTTTTGATAACAAGCTTACTGATCTTCGTTGTTATTTTAGTCGATTTCTGGGATCGAAAAAAGTGAGATTTCTAACGTATCAGCCGAAACTTCAAATGATGGTGACTGAGTTGCCCAACTTTTGTAAGATTCGGGTTGCTCTCCTTTGATATTCAAGATGAGGAAACTTCAGTCACGCTTCAGTAGTGCCGAACGGTACTTGGTTCGCTATCAAGGATGCACCTGTTCCGTCTCGTTAGTTTTTCGTGCCTGATTGACCCCGAATTGTCAACTGTCCTGAGAGGCGCACACGACATATGTTGAGAGACTTGGTTCGCCTATTTAATTATGATTTGAGAGTATCGCTATTTGCTATAAAGGATGAGTTGTTGGACCTATTATAATATAAGAGAGAACAGGTTCTATTGTTCGTGGATTATGGGTGAAGGTAGAACATTTTGCAGATGTCGCCTCACGCTGTGATTTTGGTTTAAATGTAGTGATTATAAAAAAAAAGTAGCATTGGTCGATATTATTTCAATGAAACAATGGACAAATAAACAAATAGGTCTAGGCAGCATAAAAGAAAAAAATACATCGGACAATACATGCACAATATTAAAACGGGATTAAAACTGGGCAAAAATTAAAAACCCTGCAGTTGAAAAACCTTGCAGCCAACGCGTACACGGCACACGGGTATTCCGTCCCATTCCAATGTTTAGATGTTCCCTGCACTGACAAGGGAGAACCATTCCTCAAAATCCCGGAGAACTTTCTCGGCCAACATCGAGACCTCCCGGTTATTCAATAATATCAGGTTTTCTTGAATTCTGCATTTTTGCTTTTACATTGCCCTATTCTGTATTGTTTCATATTTGTTTTTTTTTGACATTCAATAATGTCAGGTTTTCTTGAATTCTGCATTTTTGCTTTTACATTGCCCTATTCTGTATTGTTTCATATTTGTTTTTTGTTTTTTTTTGTTTTGGTTTCTTTGTTAATTTATCCTATTGGATTATCTTAATCCACATTTGTCAGAGTGAGATGAAGACGCTACTTGACATGAATTACGCTATAAAAAATCAATAAACATGGTGTTAGCTACCATTTTATTAGACCGCCTTTTTTTCTATTTCCTTACGACTTTATTTAGAGAAAGAACCGACGTAGGTCTTGTTGAAACTAACAAATTATTTTTGGATCAGGAACTAGTCCCCACCCAACCGCCACTCATCTTTTTGTTTTTGTGGGCGACGCTCTTCGAAAGGGCCTAGGCCTCCGCCAATTCACGTATGGTCGGTATGAAACTTGGCATGCTTGTTCCTTGGTCAATTGCGCATCGATTGACGGTGTTCGAATTTTGATATGACGTTACAATTCCAAAGTGGCTGCGTGCGATTTTCCTTGTCCATAGTACGATGGTACTTGTTAATGATAAATAAGTAACTATATATCGTCTATGAACATGCATCACATTAGATATCAGATTGTTTTGAGATTGTTAAAGTTATTCTTTGTTGCCACGGTATACGATCATTTTTGACAGTACAGCACAACAGCGACGCCCCTTCGTCAACGAAAATCAAAACAAAAACAACATACAATTTGACAAACAACCGTCACAAAAGGGATACCGAACACAAAATGTCAGTTATTAAATAACTATCTCGGATCAAGTATACAATGTATAAGTTATATTGAAATGTGGACTGGATAATATGCAATATTATAAGGTTACTCGCTACCACTTAAAGGTACATTATGTATTATATATTATCTGTGTGTATTGGATAATGTGTATCAATCTAAACTAATTCACACAAGCGTAATGTGTGGATTGTGTGGTTTACTAATCAAATATACACACCAACTAGTGTGTCAGTCTGTGTATGTATGGTGATATAATTTGGCTAACTGTTTAAAAACGTTAATCAACTAAAACGGAAAATTATTTTTTTTCCCTTTTCGGCCCCACCCCCCGTTCCTCATAACTAGAGGAAGACGAACGTGTTTTTACACGCAATTATTGAGCAAAGCCGAGAATGATGATGGATGTTTAAGACTACAGGACGTGTAAAAATGGGCTTTTGTTGATTTGTCAAAAATAATGTGCACCTTTGCCGGAGGCCCCCCTAGATCTTGTGCCCCTATAGGTAAATCCGACACTGAATGTATGTTAGGCGAAAAATCCGTAGACATTTAGAATCAAGTAATTTTGTGGTTAAACTTTATCGGGCACAGTCGTAAATGCAGGAGGACGGTATACCACACCCAACAATTGGTGACGCACAAATTTCGTTGATAACAAATCCACCAACATTATAGTCGCATTTCCTGCACAGTATACAGAACAGTTCCAATGATAATGTGTGCTACGAACACAACTGCGATTACGAAATCGTTTGTTGTGTATCGTTAATTCGAAAAAAAAAATCAGACGTAGAATCGCTGAGTAAACTACAATAAAACAAAATCAATATAAAATTTTTGAAGTAAATAATGTTGTTGTTGATATTGGATGGGAATAGATCAGGAAAATATTTACACACTTAGATTTAGGATTAGGTTTTATAAAATCAACATAACGGGGAACAAAATTCTTTCGCGCGAAAATTTAACATGAAGTTGATGATTGAGAAAAAACATTTCAGGTATGAAATATGTTCTTTAATGTTAAAAGTGCAAGTGGGCAACACAAGTTGCCTTTAACGCAATTTTTTAGTGGTGTAACGAAGATTTTTATTACACGGTGAGGTGGAGATGGGGCGGATGTGTATGGGTGGATATCAGAAGCATTAGTAACAATACTTTGACCATATCCTGTGTATATCGTCTGCGCAGGTGATGTGGGATGTTGAGTCATTTTCAATTCATCATATTTTTGTGAATATTGAACAGAATTAAACCATTTTTAGACTGATATTCCTAGTCGAGATGCAACTTTCAAAATAATGTAGTTGCAGATGATTTCTCGATCCCTGAAATGACATTCTGATTTGAATCCCCCCTTTTCTATAAACTTAGCTATTTGAATCCTCACTGACCGAGTATCTTTAATCAAAACGTTCGAATTACCGCACGCTGGATGGCTAGGTCTATTGCTCTTTTACTACAAAAATAAACTTTCCATGAGAAGTGGTATCGGGTCTTTTGGAAAAAATTACACACCCTGCCTATATATTCCCGGAAAATAACTTTAATATTGAATATTTTAAAGGAAATTCTTGACAGTGTGGTTTATTTTGTAGTTCAAAACATTTGAAAACTTGAAACATATGACATTGTTTGCCCGCTTGTGCTAGTAAGACACCGGAGCTTTTATTGCAGAAAGTTTCAAGATTTGCGCTTCGATCGGCGCAGCATCATATTGGATAACCTTCCGATAATGATCAAACCGCACACGACAAGGAGGAAAAGCGAATGACATAATAAATAGGGTTTGTCGCGTTCAAGTCGTGTGACTGATCGTGCGCCGATGATGCGTATCGCCGTTGCATTCATGGTGAGTCGGGCTCTATAATTTTGTGATTTGTGTAAATACACACTGCCTCATTTCAGCGGAGACTGCGCAACGGTAAAGAGGTCGAGAAAACTGCTCCTGTATTTGTGCAATGTGTCATTAACATTTGTACAAACTCTATCTGTGCATGGCAAAAATATGGTTTAGTCGGGTTATGAAATTAGAAAATCGAATTGTCAAGTTAACAAAAGTTCACTTTGTTTAAATGAAGTGCCCGCTTCTTGTGTAGTGATATCCGAGACGCTGGTCGGGACTACAATACGGCACGAGCAAACTTTATTGTATAGTGGGGTAATGTGGAAAGTTTGTTTTTGGGGGTGAAGGCTTGCGGACTTGTTAGTTGGAATAACTGTAAATAAGTTGGATACCAATGGCTGTACAGGGTTGTGATTTATTTATGTGATCGTTCAGGATTTAAATTCACTTTGTGGAGTAATATGCAGCGGTTCTGTTGGATTATTGTTGTGTTTTTGCTGCTTAAATGTGTCTCAATCGGAGGTGAGTGATAGTGCATTCCATTATAGAAATTGGGGTATATGGCCTCATTGAATTTATACACTGTTTACGGTACACGGGAGGGAAGAACGTGTTTCGCGTTTTATCGCTAAATTTCTTCACAAAGGATTCTTGTTTCTTCGTTAAAAGTTTGAACTTTTTCTTTGGATAAAATACATACTTTTATCTTGTTATCACTTCAGAGTTTAAACGGAGTTATTTTTGACTGTATTGCCGATATCTTACCATAAACTGAAAGGTATTACAATCGGCCCTTTGTGTCATTTTCGGCTTATCAAAGCAACTCTCATGTCGTGACGATAGGTAATAACAGTTTCAAAATAGGTGTAGATTTTGGCAATTTAATTTTGGTAAATGGAATTACAGTCTGAAAATAATATAATTTGATAATAATTATGTTGATAAATTTATTAAAGGAAGCTTTGAAATTCGCTAACCAAATTTATAAAGGGATGCTTTGAAAGTCACTGATCAAATTCATTTTCTTTTACAGTACAAAAAATAAAATTTCGTGATTTATTTTTTTTATTTTTTTGCTGAAACAAAATGATACATTATTAAAACTTTTAGCAGAGGATGTTGTCATTCGATATGAAGACTTTCTTGTGAAAAAAAATGCAGTGGGGGTAAAAAAGGACATAAATTTGAAACAGCCGTCAAGCCAACTAGTGAGCTATGGCTATGTGATGTTATGATAAATTTTAATTTCGATAGTGTCGCGCGTCGCTACACGGCAGATGTTTTAAACGGAGTATAAGGGTAAAAAGGATCAAGTCTCAAACGCCATATGGCAAGTTAACGGGCTTTTCCCACGCGGTGTGTATGATGTAGGCTACTTGTCGTTAGAAAGACCGACACACGAGTAGAAATACGTACTTATGACTTCTTGGGTTCGGATTACATTACCATTGCATATATTGTATAAGAACTAGTTTATCTTTGCACAAAAAAATCAGAAAAAAAAAATCTCTGAAAGCAGATATTTTTATTTTTACAGTTTTTACCTTCAAGTTCAAAGTTTGTTTTTTTTCTAAAAAAATATATTGATTTTAATTTTAGTCTTACAAGGGCATGTGAAATGAAATTGCACTTCTTGTCAATATCTTTTGAACATTTTGCACAGAGAAAAATGAAATGGGGTTTAAAGTCCTACTGTTCTGCTCCGAACTGGGCTAATGAAGACGGGCATACACTATACAGTGTGCTGTGAGGGAAATTTGCCCGGACAGAGGCACTACGGCCTACGGGTTAGGCCTACTCTTATATCGAATTCCAACTATCAATGGATCTTTTATGTGCACACCAATGTGAACACAGGACCTCGGTTTTTCGTGCCATCCGAACGACTAGACAGCTGTCCTTGTCAGGCCCTCTGTCCTGCATCACTTATAAGGGGGGAACCACGCCGGAAAATCTGGTGGAATTTTCTCGGCAAATGCAGGGATCGAACACCAGACCACCAGGCTAGCTAACCAGCGCCTTACCCACTTATTTTGCATAGAAAACCAGGAATAAATAAAACTTATGTAGCATAATGTTTTGCGATCCGAACACTAAAAATGAAATAATCATAGAATTCTTTCAAAACAATCACACAAAGATTATACATGTATTCCCCCACCCATCCCCCATCTTCGACCACACAATTAATTGAATCTGAATCATTATTAATTTTCCCAGCAACAGTAAATACATACATGTATGTTCATGAGTGACATTGTTTTTCATCAACTGTCCATTTCACAACAGTAATATTATTAACTAAATGACATACTTAGCCATAACAACTCTGTTACTCTATCATATAACAATACAATGGTGTGAATCTGTTATTATTTACTGAAGAGTCAGTTATAAGCTCTAAACAACCACCTCAATCGAGTTATTTTTAAACAGCGCGTAAAAAGCCTGGGAAATAGATTAGATTACATCTCATTCTTGCATAGAAACAGTTGTTATTGCACATGCATTCGTAGAAAATAAGGTGCATTGCAGTAAATATAGATTCACCTTTCACTATTTCGAGGTCTGTGTGTAATCTGAACAGAAATTGTACATGGATGGATTTAGCTGTTTACCAAGTCGAAATGACCCATGCAGCTATATGTCACTGACATCATTTTGACATGGAATTGATTAGGGGATATTAAGAAATAAAGTCACTGTCATTAATGACAATCATTATTCAGATGACATCACTGTATAACTGCCATACACAATATTCATCATCAAAATCTAAATGATTTTCACTATCAAATTTTGGTGGTACCACGTAGTTTGGGGGGTACACTTTTTATTTGGATAATAATACTCTTAACCCTACTTGTTTACATAATATAGATAATTTATATTCAGGTAAAAAATTTGAGACTTGACAAATAAACAAACAGTATGCAAAAACTAGGCATAAATCTATGCATTACTATTTATGCATGTATCTGGGGGTTATTAACTGGGTTGAAATTTTGATAGTGAACTACATGTACCGTATTGTAACATGCCATGAATTAAAAGTACCCTAGTGCAGTCTTGTCAAGTTGGTTGGTTGGGAAATATTACATGTACTTTTTTAATTTTTAATTTGATCCCCAACTACAATGTATATCACAGAGATCCAATCTTGGCCTGCACTGTGACTGTACAGAGATTCTTCATCACATTAATGTGATCGTTTCGTACATAATACCTAGTACCCTGTACATGAATATGTTGGCATATTACATGTATGTGTGTGTGTGTGTGTGTGGAATATAAGTGCAGGAAGACTACACCATCAACAATTACACAAGTCAAACCCTTACCCACAGACATGACACAATTTAAGTGCTTGTGTGTATGTGTGCAATGTAACTATAAAAAGTCATACTTCTTAAAAATATTACATGCCAAATTTAAGTATCAAGATTAGAAACAGATCAGATGGATAACTGTTGAATTATTAATACTTTAAAGATACATTAGTTAAGAGTTTTATAAAGAGTTGCTATAATGATACAAAAATAGATGATAAAAAAAGAAAATGTTGAAAATTTCAGTCAAATTATTTTGTTCTGAACAGAGTTGTCACTGTTGGAAGTTATGACTAGAAATTGGCATCAATTGTGTCTGCACCGTCTATGAGAATTGGTGATCGTTTGATTAACAGACAATAACTCCACCCACATATTCTCGATTATCAAGTAACATGCTCAATGGCAATGGTAGTCTCCCTTGGCAGGCCTTTCATCACCAGTTTCCGGTAGTGACATCAGCGACTAACGGTAAACGTTAGCTTGGTCCACCATTTATTGATTTAATTTTAAATGGAAGATTGTTTAAATCCAAACTGTATCCAAGCCATCCGTGGGTCTACAGAGTTAAATAAAGGCTTGCAATTGGCAGATTTAGCTCTTGCATAATGTATGTTTAATGACTTTATTAAGAACAACATGTTAATTTTCTTTTATTGACATAATATGAGAGATGTGCATACATGTTGCTTTGCAGCCATGTTTCTACATACTCCTCTAATTTCAACTACCAAGGGCTCTTCAACGAGAACACTACATGAATGTGTCATCCCCACAGATGTTTTTGTAGCTATAGTTTTATACATGTACAATGTAGCTATAAAACTACAGTTAAAACCAGCAACTTTCTTGGTTGGAGCCCATTTCTTCAAATGTTTAACATATGTGGCACTATTTCAAAGAAGACACAGTCGTCGATTTAAAATTAAATCGATAAATGGCAGAAGAAGCTAACGTTTACCATTAGTCGCTGATGTCACTACTGGAAACTGGTGATGAAAGGCCTGCCAAGCGAGGCTACCATAACCATTGAGCATGTTACCTGATAATCGAGAATATGTGGGTGGAGTTATCGTCTGTCAATCAATTGATCGCCAATTCTCATAGACGGTGCAGACACAGTTGATGCCTATTTCTAGTCCGAACTTCCAACAGTGACAATTCCGTTCAGAACAAAGTAATTTGACTGAAATTTTCAACATTTTCTTTTTTTATCATCTATTTTTGAATTATTATGGCAAGAATGGCCAACTCTTTATAAAACTCTTAACTAATGTATCTTTAAGTAACATTAAAATTCTCTTTAGACCTTTAAAGGCAACATCCAGTAGTTGTCATGATGGGAAAAATTTGAATGTACATGTAAATATTTTGTTATTTAATAAGAGAGAAAAATGTACATATAATTTAATAAAAATTAATAGACAACTACTGGGTGCTTTGGGTTAATGTTGTTTTTTTTATATAGAAATGGAAGTAATGTTAAGCTAATTATATTATCTACACACCATGGGAAAGTTTTCATTTGTACCTGCTTAACCTTTATCGATAAATAATTGTATATAAAAGATGTTTAGACATGTATATAATATGTAATGAGTATAGTAGACATGTATATTTATTACCTTATAATAAGTCACGTTGGACACGTTATATAAAGTACACTATTCACATTATAATGCAAGACACAATTATATGGAATACAAGTTACTTGAAGGATTTATTTTGGGGACTTTTCGACAAGGGGCGGGGTCTCTCGTCTTTATCAAGCAAAAAATGACAACCATAGTACAACATGTCTACAAAATATATAATTACATAATTACATGTAAATGGTCAAGAGTCATACATTTAAAAAGACTTTATATAAAGGCAATCTTCATGTTCAATCCATCTAAAGAATTACATTTAATAAAATAAAGTTAATATACATGTATGTACATGTACCTCTCGTTGACGTGTAAATCAAGCTGTACATTCTACTCTTGGTCTATGTACAATTTTCAATCAGTAGAAATTGCAGTGACTGAGTGAGTAGGATGCCAGCTCACTAAACCTGAGTTTAGTTGAGAAAGTTCCTCAGGATTTTCTGGTGTGGTCTCCCCTTGCCAATGTTGAGTCATTCGGATGGGACAGAAATAAGAGTAGGAGATAGCCAAATTTCCCTCCTGTAGCACATTGCATGGCATATATACCTGTCTTCATTAGCCTGGATGAATGAGAAAAGTAGGAAGTTAATTTATTTGAATCTGTTACGGTATTAGTCACAATTAGAAAAAATATTGTAAATATCAAATGTCACGAATCTAGAAGATCTGGTTTCACTTCTTATTAAGTACATGTACCGTAGTTGATATGTACATTCTACGTGTAATGAATAGACTTTTTCAATTCATATGAATTGTATAATTTTGTACTTGATCAAAGAAAGGGACTTGAGGCCTCTAAACCCCTCCCCTCTGTTACACTATTTATTTAGTAATGTCAGTAATTTACAATGTACTTTCATAGTATTTAATATGTGAATAAGTTTAAGTGGGGTTATGTTATAATTATCCATTATATGTTATTAATCAGTCTTTAATTTCTTTTACATACTTGAATAATAAATGACCACATTTATCAACTTCCAATAAAAGTTCAATCAAGTACAACAATTAAGATATACACTGAGAATTATGGTAGAAAACATCCTTCATCAATCTCATTTATGATCAATTAAGGGAGGCAGTCAAATGTAGAGGAACAGATGTGACTGCATGAGAAAATGCATTGAAGCCAATCAAACACCAACACTTGTATCTTTATTATCTGCTTGTGCATCACTATGGCATCATATTGTGTCGTGCACTGAAAATGATATGAGCCATACATATACATGTTCATGTAGTTAAGTCAATCCCAAATAACTGGAGTAGAAGGGGGATGGGAGGGGGAGCATTATAAAACAGTGACTATTTTTAGTTGATATTCAACAATAAATTCGGGAAAAAACTTCAGTTTTCCTAACCCTACATGTACATATATATGATTCTGTATGCCTACTGTGGTGCTTGATATCAAGGAAGTGATCTTTCAAATTTCTTTTGAAAAGATAAAACTATTTACACATGTAATTATATGATTATAAAACAATATCTCATGTTTGACTTAAAGAGAGTTCAGTAGTCAGTTGAAATAATTACAGATTTTACCACCATATATATGTTTTAATCATTTTTCTTGACTTTAATATGAGACAGAACAGCAGATGTAAGGAATAAAAAAATTGTTTTGAAACTGGGATGATTTGAAAGTTGTCTGGAAAGGAGCTTTTTGTATACATTTCATATACATAATTCATATGTTGTAGAAATTAAAACATTTGGTACATTAATATAAGCCATGCATATAAACCAACAGTTCAATCTACATGAAAAATGCTCATCATTAGGACTTATATCTGTTTAAATCTAAACAAAAAACAGAACCCCTACCAAGTCATAAGCAGGTGTTTTCTATATTATCATATAAACACACACCAGAATGCTTGTAGCAAATGACTAAATAAATTTTGATATTTTTAACATGGTATATAGATAAGATATTATAAGTATATGTGTGTTTTATGTTGATAAGAATCTGCTTATGATGTGATAAAGTTTAAAAGTTGCACATTTCGGCTTTAAAGATATGTCTTTTGACAGTTGAGAACCTAAATACATGTACTGGTAGGCCTACATAAACAACCATTGATCTGGAAATGTATTCGAACTACTGCCAAAAATTTTAGTTTGTTTGTAAAACATGATATCCTACAAGCTACGGATTGAAAACCCAATTCAATTTCAAATCTAAAAATGCAGCCATTTCGAATACAGCCTTCATATAGCGATCGGCGAAGCTATATTTCGAACTGATTAACATCGTCTGACAAGACCAAAAGGTTTCTGTTCCGGCCTATGAAGGAGATCCAAGGTACAGCATTCTTGACTGTGATATCATTATTAAAGTGTGGAAGCAGACTTAGAAAACAACCAGTCAGTCACTGCCTGAGGCTTCCTTGATACTAGAGGAAGTTTTAATTGTCATTTAATATTTGTTGACATTTGCTTAAAACATGCACAAAGACCAAAACATTCTGACTTTCCAAATGAATCATGGCAGTCACACTCATAGGTCAAATACCCATAATGAAGCATCTGATTTATTCAAATTCTCAATGGATAAATTATAATGTAATATTGATAAATGCACATTTTTAATACATGTACATTGTATTTTCTTTCTCTACAGGTTTCCCATCATGCCACCCTAACCCATGTAAAAATGGAGGAACATGTAAATCGGGATCAAATGGACAGAGCTATTGTGTGTAAGTAGAATGTTTTTTCACATAAATTTAAAATTGATATAATCGGTGATATTAGAATCTGTTTAACATTTGGGTTTTTTTTTTTCAATGCTATACCTCACCTGTCTGTAACACCTGTAGTGTAGTGGACAGATTTAAACAATCTTTACTCATCTAAAGAATTGCTCTAATTACATCTATCAACAAATATATTACCAGATATAAAAGTAGATATTCTTGTGAGTAGTGAGTTTCCAGAGGCCAATTTTCTGATTTCTGTGCTTTTCTGTTGAAATCGCCAACCATAGACTGGATATTGAAAAGTTAATCAAATTTAAAAAAAACCCAAACCATTCTTATTTAATTAACCAAGTGTTGTATATCCACTAAGATAATTAAAGATTTTAAACACAGGTGTCTTTTACCTGATTAAAGGTAATTACAGATTATAGCCACATTATCATTAGATGAAATCAACCATTAAAGGATATCTTTACACCATCAAAATGGCTGATATTTCAACTTTTCATGAAGGCTAGACATTGCCCTTTCATGAAGTAACAAATTAGTATTTACCATCTTGGACATGAAAGACAAGTTTTTGTAGAGATCAATGTAGAACTTATGAATTATTAATAGGTTGATGGTTGTTTTTTTTATATCAATCAGTCAATGTCAATTGGTGGTTATATGTAATTAATGGCTAGCCAGAGTCGATTACAACCACTGGGATAAAGCATGCATCATGATTAGAATATCATTAGAGTCATATTTATGTATTTTTTCATTGTATTGAACCAAAATTGATCAATTTGTGATTGTGTTTAAACTAAAGACACTATTAAACCATTTCTTTATTTTCTTGAAAGTTATATCTAAACCTTGTTTGTTTTGTCCCACTTCTAAATAGCCCTAAGCACAAATAATTATTGAAATAAAGATCTACGATGTGATAGTCTTCAGATGTAACGGGTAACCTAAATTACGTGTTGAGTGGATGTTAAACCTTAAATCTCTTTCTTAATTTGCTGTCTTTGTGATGAGTCTAGTTGCACTAAAGATAGTTAAAATTTATAGCAACATGTACAGTGCATGCAGCAAAGCTACTTTTTTTTTTAGATCTGACCTCTTTTATCCAACAATGACTACATGTATTTGCCCCAATCATTAGATTGCGGGTACTATGATGTTTCTTAGCGAAAAATGCATCATAATTGAGTTTTGGCATATTGTCCCTTCAAGTACAAATTTAATAAGCTAAGAATTAGAAACATTGTGAAATCTATTAAGTTAATTTAGTTATTGAATTTAAGCAGGTTATGATGAGAAAGAAATTAAACCATAATTAACTCCCATGGACTGAAATGTTTGAATGTATGTAGAGTAATACTTGTTTATAAATTAATAAAGTCCTCCCACATTTTTCAGAAATCATGTGGGTTGCAAAAAAATGTATTGGATTTAAATTCAGTACACCAAGAAGAAGAGATTTAACACAATATTAACTTTCATGTGTGGTAAAAGTTTTTTGCACAAACTCTTCACACCAAGAAATATTTAACCCAATTGTGCATATTATTTTTCTAAATACATACTGGCCTGTAAATGCCTTAATTCCATCGTGGCACCTAATTGTGTTACGAGGTAATTCGATGTATTTATGTATATGATATATACACTTCTGGAAGTAAACAGCTACCTGTGTGCTGTATATCAAACTTACAGTGGTATGGCCTGATGCCAAAAATAGTGAGCGAAGCACCCAAAATATCTGTTAATTATGTACTCCAAACTTTTACATATTTTCTTAGCTATTAATCTTTGGTGCTAAAAATTTAAACTTTATGACAAAGCACAGACATTATTGCAGCTCTTTTGTTAGTGGCCATGTTTGACAACCATAATGTACAAACATAAAAATGTATTGTAAAGATAAAATGCAAGTTATATTCCCCAGTTACCAATTAAATTCTTGTTTATTTTTTTGGCGTAGAATGTGGGTAGCCAAGAATGTTTAGAAAGCATAACGGGAGGGGTTACCTTCACTTTGGCCCCACTGGATGATTGCTCTTCTAATTGGCAAGTTTTAGTAAATATTCTGTCATTTATTATTTGATTACTGTTTATTTTTTAACATGTGTGGATTTTATAGGGAGGTAGCCCAACCCGGGTCAGCCCTGGAGTAATGTTGTCTTAGCAAATATTAACTGCAAGACAAAACTCCATAGACAAACATAAAATCCGGACACAAAACCAACAATTAATGAGGCCAGATTGATGCCTGTGTATAGTTTAATTGTAGTAAGTGCAGGAGGATGGCAGTACACACAAACAAGTGTAGAAAAACTAGATTGTTTGCATGTAATCAAGGCTTACAATAAGCATCTACTGTGCTGGTCAGAGGCTTCATTTAATATGTATCTTTTAATGTATTAAATTTAGAAAAGGAAAATCAGTAGGAGAAAGAATTTCAATTATGCCCGTTAAAACGTAAAACTTTACATAAATGGGGCCAGTCAGTGCTGATCCCTTTACTAAATAAAGGGAAGAACTTCCCACAAAACCCAATCCATGGCCTAAGGCCGAAAATGGAAAGATTGCAAAATCATATTCTAAAAACAGGAAGCAGCTTTGGCTCTCCTATTTCTTGTCTGCGATATCACTTATGTGGAAGCAGACGTAAAACACCAGGATACTACTACTACTGATCCCTAAAAGAGGAAAAACCATTGCAAAATAACAAAGGGACTGTTTCATAAGAAAGTGGTGCAAAATATCAGGACTAAAAGCCTTGGTTTTTGGTGGTAATAAATAGCAGAAGAGAATAGGGTACATGAACTAAGATGTCCTCTAGCCAAATAAATATCATTTTCTTTCCAAATGATGCAATGTCATTACTTAACTCTTTGGCACGAAAATAATTTTTTCCTGTTTTTCTCATACTGGGTGTATCGAGAAAAAGACTGTGCTGGCACAAACATCATCCAAAAAATGTTGAAATTCTTTGCAACCTTATTACTCTTGAAGCAAATTCCATACAAATTATCTACTATTGGGTTTCTACTACATATATGTACCTGTTGGCTGATTGCTGTCTTATACCTGTAGATGTCTACATACATGTACTAAAAATAACAATCAATCTACGAGGCTATACAAGAAAAAAAAAGAATTACTTTTGTTTGTTTCAAAAGGACGCGTATGTCATTCTTGCACTTAATTAAACTTGATATGGCTTATAATCAAGCCTGGACACAAGCGGCTGTATTTATTTTACGCCATGTCAGGCACAAATTGTATTATGCCTGTCAATTTGTCCGTAACCAAATTTTGAAGAAATTTAGATCATTATTGCACTGTAACTGACGTACATTAATCAGTTCAATGTTCGTTCCATGTGCCTCAAATGTAAACATCCGGAAAATCGATGTCTTGATCATCCCAGCCACTGATTTCTTGTTACTTTTATTAGGCTAGTGCGTCAAAATTTTGTCAGATTATATACGAGGGCGAGATGTCCGGTTTGTAGCAGACAGTAAATCCTGCATACATCACCCGGCATTTGTATTAATATCAATATGTAATACAATGTACATGTACAGCCCAACTTTCTTACAACTTTGCCAAAAATAACATTTTTCGTCAAAAATCATGGAGGATACATGTAGGACTCCCAATTAGAACTTCAACTACCAATTATTTGATAGCCATTACAGAGCCACTCTGACTAAGTGGGTAAGACGCTGGCTCGCTAGCCTGGAGGTGGAGTGTTTGATTCCTGCATTGGCTGAGAAAGTTCATCGGAATTATCCGGTGTGGTTTACCATTGTCAGTGGTGCAGTACAGAGGTGCTGACAAGGACAGCTGTCTAGTCATTTGGATGGGATGAAAAACAAAGGTCCTGTGTATAAATTGGCGTGCACATTAAAATCCCTTGGCAGTTGGAATTTGATATAAGAGTAGGCCATAGTGCCGCTGCCTTGGCAAAATTTCCCTCATAGCACACTGTATGGTGTATGTCTGTCTTCATTAGCCCAGTCGGAGCAGAATAGTAGGATGTTAAACCCCATTTCATATCATTTTATTTTGATAGCCATTGCAACTGATAAATCTTTAAAAGGCGAGACCATGAGGTTGAGGGTCAAGGTCATCTCGCTAAATGACATTTCTAATTCTAATAAAATTAAATCAATGAAACACTTGTTTTGACATTGATAGATTTCTAATACAAACCCAGTTTTGAAAATAGCAGATGTGTATAATGTACATGTATGATACATGTAGGCTAGACTAGTCATAAGATAGGAAACAAGCCCAAAACATTAATGCAACATTATTGCTTTGAAGATCTACCCAGTTTCAATTAGCTTTGAATTGTCTTGTCTATACATCTAGGATGTTCACATTTTAGGTAGTAAGCATAATCTGAGACAGAATGGCCAATCCATTGCTGGATGGGATTCAGTAGGATCACAGACAGACATTACATGTACATGTACAGTATAACCTGTAGTATCGGTAGTTTTCAGTATTTCAGCCCAACACTCATACAAAATACTTTATTCTTTTGCCAGTGTTTGGAATTTTGGTAATTTGTATAGTAAATCTAGGGTTATTTCAAAGATGATAAATTACTGATTACATGTTCATTTATTTTCATTTTATAAGCGATAATGCCTCCAAAGTTATTTGGTGCATGGTTAATCAGTAGAAATTTGTAAAAATACAGAACATATTCAAATATATTTAAAGTTATACATATACATGTAACTACTCAAATATAATACTTAAAGTCACTGTGGTCACTCGCATTAAAATACAAATTAATATCTTACACCATATTATTTGTCCCAGAAAACATTGTCTAAACTTTTTACTCCGTAGCCCAAACACTGAACTACAAACTTTATCTGGGTCCAGTTATTTCAGACATTTTATTCCAAGACTTTAATTTAATTCCAAATATAGATTTGGCAGATGTAGAGATTTCAGGGGGTTAACTGCCATTTCCTATTTGGTTT